AGTGTGTGCAATATCCACATCTTAGCTCCACAAAAAAAAAAAAAGCTGGCTGTTGTGGCAGATCCCTGTAGTCCCAGCTACTCGGCGGGAGGCTGAGGCAAGAGGATCACTTGAGCCCCAAGAATTAGAGGTTGCTGTGAGCTATGACACCATGGCACTCTACCATGACAAAGTGAGACTAAGAAAAAAAAAGAATGTTCAAGATACGTTATGTAATACAACATGCCTGTTTACAGGGAATAACTAGGATATAACTTATGTTTACTTCTTAATTTCATCATATAAGCCAAGCACAAAAGCACCAACCACGCCTCTGAGAACACTGGACCATGTACCCTTGAATAAAGCTTTGCCTCCATCACAGAGCATTCCTCCAGCAGTCAACTGTGAACTGTGCACGGCCATGTACATGCTGTCAATTCCTCTGCCCCCTGACTGCTTTGCTTCATCATGTGGCAGCAAAAAGTGTCACACAGATAGGAAGTCAACCCAGCAATGGCAATGACAGACTATGTGATCATCCAACTGATAATGACACAAATATTCTTGGGATCTGGAAGCATTCCCTTTGTAGTGTCACATATATTGAAGTAGACAGCTTGGTAGATGATAATATCCCAGACAGACACCTTAAAGCCTTGGTGCAGGTCCCTAATCCCATCCGATTCGTAGCTTTTAACCAGGTAATCACTGAGGCCTCTGAATTCCCTTTACTCACATCAGCTGCTAGACGGGTAAGGGGTAAATCAAGAAGATATACAAAACACAAGATGTGACTCCAGCAGCACCACCTGATGCCAGATTCCCTGCAAGGGAGGGCCCAAACTGGATCCTCTTATCCACACAAACCAGGAAGATATGCTTGTATTTATCTTTGAAGGCAAAGTTGGGGGAGAAGTATCTGAAGAGATACTCGTCAGATATGCTTGGCTAGGATGTGGGTACTATGAATAGAGAAGGTCAATTGATGAGATTAGTGCCTTCTATTTTGTATAGGCTCTTGAGCTCCAGATACTTCCTAGTGGGGAAGTATCTGACCACAATGACCCAGTAACTAAGCCAGAAGGACAAGACACCCTGCTCCTTGGGGATACAGACCACACAGTCTATAATGCCCTTGTATTGCTTATCTGCAGTGATTTGCTTGCAGGCATGCTGCACCTGCTGGATGGGCAATACTACAATCTAGGATATGGCCACTCCACCCGCCAGAAAGTCCTTGACGAAGGACAGAACTAAATCTGTCATGTTGAAGGGAAGGAGGATGCATGCCACTGTGGGACAGGACTGGGCCAGTTTTACCTTGGGGGTATTAGGCAAACACCTTTTTTTTTTTCCTTTGAGACAGACTCTCAAGTTATTGCCCTAGGTAGAGTGCTGTGGCATCACAGCTCACAGCAACCTCAAACTCCTGGGCTCAAGCCATTCTCTTGCCTCAGCCTCCCA